AAATAAATTTTGGACTTGTGAGAGGCTAAAAATGACCCCAGGTCGATTATAATGTAACGTTTAACCACGCTGAAAAGCTTTTGACTCTATTTCAATCCCTTGAGCAGTTACAGCACTTTGAAATAAATTTTGATGGAAAAAATCGAGGCAAAATAGCGATTTTTGGCAATTTTGAGATGTCCCCTCGTTGCCATGGTAACAGGAAATTTAAGACTGAGCATGTCGTTACAAAGGCAATGGTCCAGTCAACATTTGTGCCAAGTTTGATTAGTATTGAAGCATTTTTCATAGTTTCATAGCAGTTTGAACTTGTAACAGGAGGCTTTTCAGTGAAAACGGCCATTTTTCACAATATGCTCATGGGGGAAAGGGTTAAGACATATATATTTGAAACACATTAATAAAGAAACATATTCCATACAAAAAGATATTTTGGATTTTTTATTTTCAAACATCAAGAAATTATAACTACAGGAAGACATTATTCTTATTTTAAATATATGATTAAAAGGAAAATTGAACTAGTTAAACATCATTTGAAATGTTTTTAAGTTATTGAAATCGTAGAATGAAATAGTACCATTGTAGCCAGCGGCTCCCAAAATATAATTCTATTTTATCCGTTCACTTGATTTATTATTTGACCATTACTCATCAAATATCCTCAATATAATAAATTAGTTCATGACAGTAAAAAACAACATTTATAGAATTTATCGTATATTATTTTCACTTTGTATGCAATCACATATTTTTGTGATAATTGCAATTACCAAAAAATAAATGTCATTCATCTTTATCACTAGTTGATCGTTCCGTTCCGTGTATTTTGCTGTAAAGATCGAGCTTGAATACAAACGTTAATAAAAGTTATTTCTTTCTTAAAGCTGCTCCAGTTTTCGTCTTTGTGAATGCTACGGTCTTCTTATAGTTGGAACTGTAATGTTTGGATTCAGTCTGTTGCTTGTAGTAAAATACGGAACGAATCGAAGAACAGAATCTTCTGCAAATATGAGCATAATAACTTTATTGTAAGGATGTAAATACACATTCTCATTCAAATAATCTGAATTTATCAATTTAAAGAGAAAGGAATTATGCTTATTGAGTGTCTTTTGATTATTTCGATTTACTTATTATGTTTGCTTTATTTCATTTATTAAAACTTGTTTTTTGTATTTAAGGATTCTTTTATTCTGACTTCATATCATTATTGTTTCATTAACAAAGACGAAGGAAGAGTGAAAAGAAAAGCTCTTAAGCAATTTTATAGCTACTAAACTCTTCTTATCTTTGTAGCGAGTATTAAATTTTTTATTGAACAAGTTGTGTCTTAAACTATGTGGAAAATGTTCCTGTTCCTAATTATCTTCTGATATTTCAGAATTAAAATTACACCTTGTCATGACTGAGTTTTCTGTGTTAGGGGAGGGGGTGATGCGTTGACGTTTGCCGTCAATGAACCATCTTATTATAATAATCAAACCAAGTCTCCACTATTTTCAATTTTGCTGTTCTTGGCGTTTTTTAAGGATTCTGTTTTTCTTTTCTTTGTTTTCTCTGTTTTCAGTTATTTTAGTTATAACAGCAATGATCGTGTTTGCAAACAATACTACAGATTCTGGTCTGACATATGGGTCAGCATTTTATCTACATTTACCTTCCTCGGTTAGCTCTTTTGTTGCTGCATATACTGTCTTCAGAGCAAAGAAGAGCCATGTGTCACACGGATATAGTCCAATAAGTTTTGAATCTGCAAGAACAAACGTTTGATCAATTATACCCTTATGAACATTTGAGATATGAGGTTACTTGTATTGTATTACAGACATCATATAAATGTCAATGTATCAAAGTGTATCATACTTATCTTGTACACAATGCGCGTGTAGTCATAGCACTATTTGAATGCCGACGTTGCATGGATTTTATTCAGCAGAAAACAATATTATATCCTATGTATGTTTGTATTATTTTATAGCGTTAACTGAATCAGAATAAGCAACAATAAAGCAATAACTTAAAGAGATATAACATAAAGTCCAAATGCTATTTTGTTGTGAATATTGTTAATATTTCAGAACAGTTTTATAAGTTCCTCATGTATGGGTACGTTTTATTAACTTATTGTAAAATATTTTATATTCTTATATACCACAGTCACTGGTTTTGAACCTTGAAAAGAATATTCATGCAGCAAGCTTACGAAACTTCGATTCCGATTGCCGTTTGTTCGTGAGATTACACACGGAGTCAAACGCTTCACATTGATCTCTTGCAATTGGCAGATTGTAATCACTGCTTTCATAGATCTCACATGATGGTGACATATATGCCGTAACTTCTAAAATCTAATGTCATTTTTATTTTTTATTTTTAACGTTTCGTAACGTTTCGTACCTACGCTCGTTATAGTTTATATGATAAATATTATCAAAAACATACAAAATGATGAAAAATAAATTTTAAAGTTAAATATATACAGTAACAAATATTTTTAAAATCTATATGGTGGCAGAGATTGCTACACCAATTAGCGGAAGTAACTGCTATGGTCCGTGGCAACCGATAGTTTTCTACACAAGTAAAGCTAAAAAGTCGCAAACTGATCATAACAGGACCGCTGTGACTTAAATCCAAACAACACAAGAGTTTCAAAACAATAAGCAAAAGTAAATTCAATGGCAATTAAAATCATTACTGTACTGCAATGGAACAAGCTAGAATATAATAGCTTTTGAACTTTATAAAAATTTTAAATTGTTTAGTATGAAAGTTAAAAATTAAACTGCCATCATTAGACTTGTTCATAGAAAACGAAAGTTTCAAAATTTCCAGCACAAGGCTTTTCGACCTCATTTCAATTAACAGCCAGAAGTAATATATAATAATAGAAAGATGGAAACTTGAATAATTCAAATGATAAAACCTTGAGATATGTTATAATAGTGTAGCTTATAACGTTATTATAAAAAAAAGATTTATGTTCTATTATAAAAAATCAATTCAAATTTCAAAGAATTGGAAAAAAGTGGTCTTATTTTTAGTTTGTGTGATAAAAATAAAGTCATTTATTTTGATGAACAGTAGTTATCTAGGGTATTATATTGTATTCATAGACTAGCAAATGTACCATAAGCATGATTGTTAATGATGTTTCTGATTATATTTTGTTCATTATAACTAGCTTGTTTGATTCAAATCAACCTAATTCCGTTTGATAACTTGCAGTTGTAAAAAAAGAGAACTTCCGGAAGGTTATTCAAGACGGCAAAGTTGAAAGCATATTTTGTAGAAAGAGCCTGCTTAAAGTCGTTTTGGAAGCAAGATGGTATATATATATCAATGAATGTATCAAGAATAAAGAAGGGTCTATAAAATGTGGTTTGATCTGTTCCTTTTTAAGCCAGGTATGAACCAAAATAGTGCATCTAAATAATAACAAGGAAAAATGGAGAAGCAACTGAAATTGGATTTTAAATTTGAATTATAACCCTGCTATATTGCAAATTCAATTGAAAACAAATTGTTTGCATCAATAAGCATTTGTTTTCTAAAACAATCGTTATTACGTCGCAATAGTAATTGCATAAATATTTTATCAGGATTGTATTGTATCTTCCCTTCCCCGAAATTTACGAACTATCATTTGTTATAATATTAAACAATTCACTTATTTAGAACAAGTCATGAATAAATTGTACACAATAACAATAGAAAATGGCAACGATTAAGTAACGTTGAATGCAAACCTGTTTGTAATGTATAATAGACCTTTCATGCGATATAAAATTTATTTGCATACATTTTATGTACACTTGGGAACTTGTTGGTAAAATGAAATTGGTTTGAATAACCACATTAACGCATTGATTATATAAGTCGGTTTTCTGTTCCTTATCAAAGATTTAAGACTGCCAGAACAATTCATTAACGCTACATTAAGTGATAATAGAAACTTTATCCGTGGCAGTCGATTCAAATTTATGTACGGTCAACAAAATAAAAGGTTTATAGAATATCTGATACATTTTTCTTTGTTTTTAATTCAAACAAATCGTTTGAATCATGAATCATTTATGTTATATGGTACAATTTTAATTTTTATATTGATTGCATTTTATTTTCATGAAGATTTCAGTGCATTAAGTCATTCTCAATTAACAATGTACCTGATCAGACATTTATACAGTATTAACTTTATCAAACATGTTATGAGAAATAAGTATATATTTAATAACAGACCTTTCATACGATGGAAAATATCTTCAAACCATTTTTATTTAGCAAACAAAACCCATTATGAACATGCCCACGATACACTTAATTTAGAAGGGGAATCCCTCCTTTATCAAAATTTCAGGACATCCTGATCAATGGAATGTTTACGTCGTATCTATTTGTTTTAAGAAATCGTTTGTTGTGAAAGAGTGATGGGATTGAAATATATAGCCACAATGTATAGTGAAATAAGGGAAAAGGCGAATTCCGAACTTCACACACCTTCAATCATTTTATACATATATTATTCTTAACATAATGAACAATCACTATGCTTTCTGGAATTATGCTTTTTATTATGTGTCTGATTTACAAAGAGAATAATTATATAAAAGGAGTTACACACACATCTTGCACACGGAGAAAGAAATTAACAAAACAAAAAATTAAAAACAAAGAAATTCAATGATCACAAAATTTAAATTGAAATACGTAAATACACATTATAATAATCAATATAAGATAACTGATATTGATCGACTTAACAATATTTTAATTTCAAAGTTAAATTCAATCTGGTCGACATTCATGGTTAGAACTACCAAAATATAATATATTCACAAGAAAGGATACATATTAACGGGAGCTTCCACCGAATCAAAAATTGGGCGTTATTTTTAATAACAGAAACTGAAGTCATACAAAATATCATTAAAAAGGGTCGATAGGACTTGTGTGAAGAGGAAAGAGGCTGGATGCAGAGGGGGGGGGGGGGGGGGTTCATAATTGGCAAAATTAGAGGAAGGAGATATTTACCGTCGGCGACAAAACAAGATATATATAAATAAGGGAAGAGAACCTTTCACAGACGCAGCCCTAAATAACGTTTAGAAACATTTGGTCACCAAACAGAAATGGAACACAGACAATAGCGCAAAAGGCGGAGAGGGGAAGTGATATTGCTAAGTAATTAACACAAATATAATCAAATAAGGACCAATTTATAAATTTATAAGACCATTTACGGACCCTAGTATGCACATTACTAATTTTTGTCAATTTATAATTTAAAGTTGCTTTTAAGCCTTTTGAAAAACAACTTTTTATATAAGTTAATAAAATCCAGATTATGTTTTCAATAATCTGCTTAATTAATTATGTTCTAAGTACATTTCCTGTAAACAACTATTCGGTAAGTACCTCTGGTGATATTATGAATCTTTTCGAAACAGCAATGAAATCAAATGCGTAGACATATACAATACATCTTACTTTTAAACAAAACATTTAGAGTGGCGACATTGCCGAGTGGTAACGCACGCGTCGGACTAGTAATCAGAGGATGTTTGGCCATTCGGGTTCAAACCTGATCAGAGACAAGCCTTTGTTTCAGTGAGCAAGAAACTAAACACTTATTAGAACTGGTTGCTTCAAGGAAACAATCGACAGTGTTTCAATAAGCTAAGAGCTTCCAACACAATCAAACTAAAATACAATTTGTATAAACTAAACAAAACAATGACTTTAATATATGTTGTAATATTGGATACATTCACATGAATGAATTACTAGCAAACATTGACAGAAGATTTTCGTTTACTTATCGTCTTAAATCAAAACTTTGCTAAATCGTTTAAAGCAAATTAAATCTCGCAATATGACATGACATGTTATAAAATACTTGACGTTGTTTATAATACAAGTGCATTAAAAACATATTAAAAAACGTTTTTTACCTTTACATATTTTCATTTGGTGAAATAACAATTGTTTGACAATGAAAGAAAGGAGAAAAGAAAAAGATGAAAAAAGGGTAAACACTGTACCACAGTTTTGATTCGGTGCATACAGGTTCGGAGACAATTACATTTTCACATATAAATATCTTTTAAATTATAGATATATAAATGTACAATCATACCGCCTTGTTTATGTAAATCATTATGATGTATTTCATTTCACGAGGAGACAACATGATTAACATTATTTTCATCAGACCATTTTGAGAACATTAAAAAAGCACATACATCATATGCTCAGCCTAATAGCATTATTTTGTTTCAAACATTTTTGAAGTTGTTCTTTAACTGATTAACAGTCTATGTTATCACTTCAGTTTTCCTTTAATCCTTTATTGAAATGAAGTTATAGTCAATTGTTCGATATACTTCCTTAAATGTCGCTGATTCTGTTTTACAGCTTACCACAGAGACTTTTAATACCCCAATAAGCAGTTTCTATTTCATTTCATATGCGGCCAAAGTTGTTCCAGGTACTGATTTATAACAAACTATCTAAACAAACTACTCACAACATTTAAGCTGGTTTTCAAGTTAGCGTAAAAATAAAAACAGCAGTGATACTTTCCATTGAAGAGGGCTGGTCATTTCAAATAATCATTCTGATAAACAGTGCTTTTTAATTTTTAGGGATTAAATATAAAATTACATATTATACTGGTCATTTTAAGGCAGTAATTTACTTAGAATTTTCGTACGTATCCTGGTTGAACTTACATAATTTCTTTCCACTGAAACAATTTAACAAATGTAAAAAATCGAGAATGATTACATGTTCACAATTGAGCTACATTTTTGATAATACATGTATTACTGTATTAAAGCTGCTTGCCTCAAGTTGAGCCAAGAACATCAATATTGAGAAAAATGTTCTAAAATTTTAAGAAAGGTAAAACATTCAAGATCCAAGTGATATTTTACATACTATATGCGGTTTAAGCCTGCTTTTAAAGTATTTTATCACCATATTCCTTTTGAGATACCAACGGAGTAAGGGCTGTTTTTGCATATATATTGACCACTTTTTGGTATTTTTCCTGGTTTGTTAGTGCCGATTGCAAGATATAAATTGCTTATTTTGTTCATCTTACAATATTTTACTTTTAAATACATTTCCAAAAGGTTCATGAAAATTAACATAAATTAGGAGGCGTGATACTTTAAATATACTCATATATAATGCAGTCGGTTCGGGGTTACATTTTATTTCTCACAGAACTGTTCTTAATTTCTTTTCACCTTCATATCGACAGTGCGAATAGAATAAAAGTGACCCCAACACGTTTTCCAGTTTATACCATCAGCATACGTAGAGTGATTCCCCGATAAGTATAGTCCATTCAAATTGCTTTGATGACAATATTTATACCACCATGCTCCTTTGTATATTTGAGCACAGTTGTTGTACCAAACGTCGTTATCCCTATCTTTAGTCGAGAACATATTTCCATCATGTGCACTGAGACTATCACCGCAGTTTCCGGAGAAACCATTTACATGCAATCTAAAATTTGAATCTTCGTCGTCAACCCTGAACATGTGATACTGCGCATAAGCATGGGTAAGTGACACAAGTGTAGTTGACACGTCTTCAAATGCTTCCATTTCAATTCTCAAAGAACTGTCTATAGTAGTAAGCCAATGTATATTCTCAAGGCCAATCCAGTACTCTCCTGATATGTTACCGAATCCACAAACATAATCCGTCCATGTTCTGTAGAAGTTTTCTGACCCATCCAGTCGTCGTTGTATAACTGTCCATCCACCATTTTTCATATCGCACCACACATCAGAAGTAATACTTCCAGTTGGTTTAATCACATAAGTACCGTCCTCGCTATAGCCTTGTTGATAAAGCTCCAGACAGTCAAATGGCTCTGGTTGCTTGTGTACTCTTTTTGTCTGTAAACAGATTACAGTAAGACAACTTTGTAATAAATTTCAGAAATATTTTTTTTAGAATCTGTAACAGAAAATGTAAATACAAATAAATGTTAATGAATCTTAAACTTCAAAATATTTGATATTTATTACATCCATTTACAATTATTTAGGACAACAAAAAAAACAACAACAATGATTCTCACTTGAGTATACGTTGTTGTAACCATCTCTGTTCTTTTCCCATGGATAATATTAAAGTCAGTCTGCCCCTCCTCACCAGTGTTATTGTCATGACCGGAACAGCAGAAACATTTTGCATTATTTTCAAAATAGTAAAACGATTGCGATTCTAATTTCTGACAATGAAAACTGCATGAAATCAATGACTTTGCTTGTATTAAAGAAAGTGAAGTGTCATTTTTTGGAAACTGAAAAACTTTCTCTATCTCAAAAAAAAGATGTCGCAAATTTATTTCCTAAACTTTGAGATGTTCCAAAAGAGTTGATAATTACAAAAATAAGCAACATGGCATCAACAGTAAATAATCCGTACATCAAAAAGAAATAAATGCAATTATATTCTAAGTTTCGAAGTAGTCAATGTGAAAGCGTTTGAAAATATATACGACTGCTCCAGTACTCCGGTTGTTAGCAGTCATTTATTGAAAAAAGAAAACATTTAATCAATTATTAAATGAATTACAATCACCTTGCCGCTCTGGTTCCTATTTGAATAGAATATTCACTTAGACGAATGGTAATACATAACCTAGCTATGGCAACAATACTGTGAATGCTTCATAATTATTCTTTAAATATGAATGCAAATTAATTCATGCTTTCAATGTTTTGTTGTTATATGACAGTTAATGTTAGATAAGTTAATGTTAGGTTTTGAAATATCAATAAACATTTCCTCTGGGGATGAAAGTTCTAGTTAAAATTGACAGTTAAATTTAATATTTCAACCGCAGTTTAAGTTTTTGTTTGTTTGTTTGTTTCATTTTACGCCTTTTTCAACAGTATTTCAGTCATATAGGCGGGTAGTTTCCTAACCATCGTTCCTGGAGAGTTACACCAGTACTAGACAACCTTCCTCCGCGCTAAACTACCAAAGCATCTCCTGGGGATCGAACCCACGCCAGAGAGGTAACTGGATTAGAAGTAATCGACTCTAACTTTAAGTTTAAATAAATTTGTATGCTTATACACTGTGATGTTATGTTATAGTAGTATAACTTTACCATAGTCGTAAGAAAACTACAAAAACATTTGCACAAGAAAATAAATTTGAATATTGATCACACAACGGGCAAAGTGAGTCCATGCCTTGTGATTTAACGATTTTATTAATTGAGTTAACAAGTGTGTCTTTAATATCATATACAGAATTTGTGCATGCAAAATGTTAAATAATAATCTTATATGAATTTATGTGCTAGAAATAAAGTATTATGCGTATGTATGGGGTAAACAAGTAAAATTGAAGTCACTAGCAAAGTAACATTATAACATTAAAACAAACACTTCGTAATATTTTGCTTTCAACAAGAGAAATCAGTGGTCGCATGTGTCGCCTGAAGATACTAGTTGCCAATCAAGCAGTTGTATTAAGTGGTAGCTAGAAGTTACTTTCCTATATATATTGCAGCTACTTTTTTCCTCTCTACAGCTACGCTGTAGTACGAGAAACAATAACCATTACAGACAGAAGCTCTTTTCTTATTCAAGGGCCATAACTCACCAAAAAATGTCAACAAATGGAAGTGTGAGATAAAGAGGTCATTAAACACGTTGAAAGCGATGATGTTGGACATATAGCTGCCAAACTTATTTCAGACTTGGCTAGCGCCTCAGCCAATACAATGTTGATAGCTGTTTACTCGTCTAATATAATTGAGAAATAACCTGATATCATTTTATAACAAGTGATTATATACATTCACTTGGCACTTTCTTCTAGATAGATATGATTTTATATACAAACGTCGCTACATGCTTAATATTTTGTAATGCACCTATAAGCCTTCGTCTATAATTAAACTAAGTTCAAAGCAAAACTTCACTTTAAAATACCTAATATGTCGATGGAAATTATACTGAAATCACTTGAGAGAAAGCGAAGAATGCATTCAGAAATAACTGGAATTACTACGATTCAGTTTGATTGAAGAGTTCAATCATTTACAATAAATGATACATCTCTTTAAAGTTCCTCTTCTCCACTGTTTATGATCTAAGAATTGATAACAATTACAGTGAATGACCACAAAACAAGATCAAAACTTAAAAAAAAAGAGAATAACTGAAAAAATATGCGAACAAATTTATTAAGGCAAATCGAGGGGAAACATTATTGATGATCAGTTTATATCGTCACCTTAGTGCAGTAAAGGATTTACTCCTTAAATGATTTAACAGGAGTTAACCCGTAACTGACCTAAATGGACGATATATCTGCAATATTCGGGCTCAGAACAAAACTTTTTTCAAGAAAAATAAGGCGCAGGATAACATAACCATATCAACACTGATGACATAAATAAACGGCCAATCTGCGAGATACAAAAATGCAGTTAACAAATTTAGCCATTAATATATCATCAAGCAAACTGGATGATGTTTTAAAATGAAAATCCGATTTGATGCTTTCTATGTAAAATCTTCTGCAATTCAGGCACAGTGAATATGTTTGTGCATTACTTTCCTCATTAATTGGAAATAATTGCTCGATTAAAAAGTATAATTTTCAATACCCTTGTCTATTTTACCCGCACATTATCATCTACTTATGTCAATGACCAAAATTCCGTTGCCCCTCGGTGTATGTTAATTGCGGAAAAAATAAAGGAACTAACATATATTTAGATTTTATTATGTTAACTTAGTTTTTCGCTTACTTAATTTTTTATTTGTTTATGCAGTATATGCTTAACCTTTATTCATGATAAACGGCATAAACTGACTGTCACACCACACATAAAAATATCCGTCATATAACAAGAACTAGACAGATAAAATTGATTAACCAACTAACGTTTCCTTCCTCAACTTCCCTGTAAATGGGAAACCAAAACTAATTTACGCTTTTGGTCTACAAAAGGTCACACATTTTCCAAAAGTATTTCAACTCTTAATAAAACAACGAAAAGGTATCATTTGGATTTTCTTGAAAAATATTTCTGAAAACAAAATATGTTGAATAAACTTATTTTATTCTAGCAGTATGTATACCATAAAATATTAAGATTCAAAATTGTACGTATTATCTGAAATGTTTTGCTTTCAACAATTTATCTACTTATATGGGTAACTGTTATTAAAAGATTATCATGACAAAAACGTCTTTTATGAATAAAAGTAAAAACCTTTTTTATTTATAGAATTGGGTTTATTTCATCAATTTTGTAAAATGTTAAAGTTTCGGGTGTATTTTCATAACGTTTCGTTAAAACAAATAATTGAATCCCTAACATGTGGTCCGAACGACACCATTACCTTATTCTGTGGTAGAACCTCCCAAATACAAGCCATTTGACTTGCTTGCGTAACACGTTTTATACCGCCAAGCACCGTTAGCAGTACAATTTTCGCGACATTCTCCGCCATTGTCATTGTGGAACGTGGAGAATCTCCAATCGTGATGAAAGGCTAAATAATCCGCACAATTACAATTATATCCTGAAACTGACAACATGAATGTGTCAGTCTCGTCATCGATCTTAAATGTGGAATGTTCGGCAAAAGCTGAAGCGGGTGAAACATTATCTTTTCCAAACGTTTCCATTTCTATAAGGAGGTTGTTCAAAAGATTCGAGCACTGCAGTTATTGTCGTCAAGAGAGTTATTGATAAAAATGCATGCATTATACATGTATATCACTTGAAGGAGAAATCTGCCTCAAATATGAAAACAAAAGAAAAAAGCCGTATAACTGGCGTTTTGTTACCTTGGTAACGTAGTTCCGACGCACATTTTGTGAAGTGGCATTTGCTTTTTATTTCATAATTTGTTTTTCTGTCAATAGATGAATGATTGATGCAAAGTGTTTTGTAGTTTTTATTGTTCCCATGCAACGTACATATTACATATTCCACCAGTGCACAAATATATTGGATAAACCTCGTCACATGCACCGGCATTAGGAACGGACGGTTGTCATCCTCTAACGAAACTCACCCCTCTACAAAGCGTCGGTGTTTCACCAGTACTTGAGCAAAATTTAATAATCGTCCGTATTTCCAGACAATTAGCAACTAACATTTTCACGTAATGACAGTATTGACAACTACACAGAAATATTTGTTTACGACCATTATAATATGACAAATAACGTCAAATTTGCTAATGACGCCGGGAATACAAACATACACTTTTCATTGAGTTTTGACGTTTATATGTAGTAAACTGTGATGCATCAAAGTAATGGCCTTACCCATTTTTTGTCGTGCTCCGGTACTACGTTACCAAGGTTAGTATATGACAATTCGTCTTCGCGACACGCCGGTTTTACTTTTTCTTTTGTTTTCTTATTTGAGATAGATTTCCCTTTTAGGTGATGTATTGTTCATGTTATTTTATGCTTATATCTTTCCTTTATATTTGTTTAAAATTAAATTTCTCTGAAACAAAGCAAATAACAGCTCAATAGTACTATCATTTTAAGATATAAAGACATTGTTGAACTTATCAGTCTTATCTAGAAGGTTAACCATAAATATTTAAATGCGATGTACGAAATAATAAGAAATTTATAAAAAAAACGGAAAAAAAAAAAAAAAAAAAAAAAAAAAGATATGTTTTAATATTTCATTACGCGCAACTATGAATGTGAAGTAAAATCATTACTTTTTTAGTCCATAAATAATGTCTGTGATTTTACCAGATTTTGCATTTTCTTCAGTGCTTGCATGTTCCTCCAAGTTACAAAAACAACTTTTATTGTTCTCAATGTATAAGAATGTAACGCATTTCCGTTGCAATGCATTCGACACGTTCTTCAACGTTTCCATAGTTCACTGTAACAACTTTTGTAAGGTCTTAACGCTCTAATCTGAATCACGTTGGTCAAGTTAGGAAAGTTAGGAAAACACTATCTAATTTTTAATAAGGAGGAAACTTTCTTGTTCCTGTGGCTACCTAGTGTATTTATTTTGAAGACATTTACAGAATAATAAATGGGAAATTTAAGACGAAGATATTGAAATATTTGCCTGTGTCTCCCTTTAAGTGAAGCTTTACTTATATCTTTATTGATCAACAATCGATTGTTCCGTTTGTAAATAGATACAATCATAAATAATATATCTTCGATGTTTCCCTCTTATTATGCGTAATTATTTGAATCTATGGTTTATTTGTTGATTGTTATAATAAAAAAGGAGCGTCAATTTCCCAAATATTCAGCTTTTTGGAATATGGATTACTGAATAAATACAAAATGACATGAAAGTTATTCGTTATATTGTGAGATCGAATTCAAAGATATGCCAATAAAATTTCAGGTAATCATCCAATCAGAATGATAATATGAGTATTTTACATCATTTCTTATGATTATTCATTAATAATACCAACATTCTTATGTTTGCATGAGCGTGAAAATTCAAGTAATTGTCTGTTTTATGGACTTGTTTTGACACTTCACATAGGACATTTCGCTAGTACTAGTATGTGAAAAAAGCAAACCGAGTTGACGAAGACGTCACTGATTTTCGCATTATATATACTATATTAAACCTATCACATTTAAAATAGATGGTGGTTGATTATTATCAGAATGACCTTGAAACCTTGAATTATAAATATGGTCATGTGTACCTCATTTGACGGTCTTGCCAATTTCTTCTATACATGTGTGAGAGTCTACAAAATGGGGTTAAATTCTTGTAATTATTCAAGTTCAGTTCACATCAACTTCCTTTATAATTAAGTTGTATCATAACTGCCATCATTGATACCTAAATGTGGTCATTGAGATTGCTTTTAACTTCTCAGTTCAATGACGACATCTTTAAAAACACCGATGATATTGATAAGGATGTTATTCACATTAATTATTTGAGGTGTATTTTGGTAGTAAGGTGATGTGTTTACACCAACATTTTCATGATCACACATCATATTTGATAGGACTGACATGTTATCATTCTCACTTTCATGAATTTTCCCTGGCTACATGAGTTCAAGTAATGGCATAACTATCGACTGATTGCATTATATTCATCTTGGCATCTAAAATCCCGCTAAGGCTTTGATTCGTTTCACTAGATTTGATGTTTGACTGTCTAATCCCACCGATAGTCAACACTTAGTGTAGTGAACAAATCAAGCTGTGGTATAAAGACCCTTTTATCTTCCTTAAGTGTGGTAACGTGCACACGACTTTGTAACCAATAATTGGGCAGGATTGTGAAGAACAATAATGGATTCACAAACAATAAAATGATCAAATTTATGACAATGTTAACATTAGTTAAAATTGTTAGGGTTTAATGGAATGATGATACTTTTTCAGGCAGCTGTCAAAGCATATAGATCTATTTAGCTGCAATAAATTAAAATAACATCTGTCAATAATGGGCTTATCTGTATAACTTCATAAGGCAACTTAACTGTAATGCAATGTACTTAGCAATAATCCCTTTTTCTTGAAGGTACACCATTTTATCACTGTGACAATGAATAAAGACCGTTCAAAATTTTCATATTTTAATAAGTGTTTAATTTTTAAAAATCTAAATATGAAATAAAAGTTTTGTAAATAAAAGCAACATATGTATATGCAAAACATTTTAGTTTTAATTATCGTATAGATCTTCATCTGATAAACTAAGCATTATTATTATCCACGACTGCCGATTTATTTCTCATTAAAATGTGAAAGTTTGGTCGAGCCAGTGACTGTTATAATGTGAAATAAAAATCCAAATTCTTTATTATTTATTCTTAAAAATGATTGATTTAATGCGAGATAATGATCTTAAGTCTTTTTTTGTCTTAAAATCAAAAAGAATTGCCGTCAGCAGAAAAAACGTCAATAATGTAACATGTAAGTAACCGAAAGTTCAATGAAACCTGACTAAAGATGATCGTTTTCGGGCCTATTTATACCAAAACTGAGAAGTTCAACGAATACAAAAACGTTTGAAAAATGTTAAGCTGTACAATTTTGTCAATGGACAATGCTTGTCGTTCGAAATCTAACCTATTAACGTTCGGAAAAGACCATTCCCATACACAAAGAACACGGTCAACCAACTGAACATCAACAATTCTTTGCTCAAAATATATGACAGTTTACCCACAAAAATGATAAATAATTACATATAACGTTTATTAAAATGTCTTATAACATAGAATGGTTCTAAGGCTGATGCTTTTGATGAAACTTTGCTCGAAATTATTTTGTTAGCTCCAGTAGCAATTGCTATTGACAACAAAAGTAATACAACCTATAATGCATCATCAAGCAATAACAACTGTCAAAGTTTATCAAGTAAAAAAATACTATAAATGCAACCTCCTAGCTAAATGCATGCTGTTTACAAGAAAATATGCAAAAAATATATAAATAAAGTCAATTAATAAGATATTTCTAGCAACAAGGTTTTCAATAAGATAAATTAACAAACAAAGGGACAAGATGTTAACAATGACGATATTTACATGCGATTTGAGTCGACAAGTGAGAGTATATCAATATTAGCTGGAGAATATGATGTGATATGCACCGACAAGATTAGTATTTACCTTTATTTATTTTGCTTTTAATTGTTAGAAATAAACAAAACATCATTTTCTCCAGCTGCAAAAAGTACAAATTAATTTTATTTTCACAAATATTACGCGACTATGAAAAACAATTTCTAAAGCTTAACCTACTACGGAGTGCATAGTTAAAAAAACAATACGCATTTATACAGATGCATACTACCTAGTTACTAAACCAAAGAATAACAATATTTGACTATACTTTTAACATAAAGTGTCATAAAAGTATGAAACATATTCCATAATTCTCGATAAACTGCTGTATAATAGAACATTCATAACCGAAATTTAAGCGACCTTTAAAGGTTAAATATGTTAATTTTAGACTGATCGTTTCATATTATTGTCAAATTAAAAGAAGTACAAGTTAAATGTTGATACTGCACATCAAAGATGCCGCCAAATGATGTGAACAGTCATAAGCATTGAAAACCGTTCTCTATTACAGTTAAATATCCGAAGCACAAATCAATTTTTTTCTCCATGGTCTTGGTTGTGCTCGTTGTTTAATAATAAAGTTGCATAGTCTTGTGAAAAAGTAGAACTCACAAAGACAAAGTAATACCAAGTCTGAAATTCTAAATGTTTTTCTGTTGCGACAAAGATTGAAACGTTTGGTCGAAGCAAAATAAGTAAAATAACAAGTAAAGTTTAAGTGATTGGTATACTTAAAATGAATTCTAAACAATATGTGCCGAGAATATATCCATTTTGTTTTATATTGGTACGAATTGCACAATGTGCACAATGTTCGAATGATTTTGATGACGAACTGTTCTGCAGTGATCTCCCCTTACTGGCCATAGCGTAACGAGTTTACGGTTGCGGAAGAACCGCTTCTCTGATAATGGGCGTAGTTCAGGCTTTGTGACTTGTAATTTAATGATTCGACAAGTGATATTGATCAAAGTTGTCCTGTATTTTTCCAAATAGATTTTTTTTAATTTTTAATTTTCTGTAAACATGTCTCTTATTTATTTTTCCCAATAATATGCATAGTTTTGCATTCACAAAAATAAAATACATTTAAACTCAAATTGTCTTTTTATATTAAAAAATGAAGAATGATTATATATAATTCATGAACTAATTCAACTAAGTTTTCGTAGAGGTTTTAATTTTTAACAGTTCTATGGGCGATTTTATGTAATATATTTTTAAATTGCAAATCAAGCTGTCAATTATTAACTTTTATGTCAAAAAATAATTAGAAATATTATAACGCCTTTCCTATTTTTCTGTTAACAGTAGGAAGAAAATACATATCAACTTTGGATGTTTATACATTTGAATGATTTTAACATAATGAAAAAGACTCATTATTATAACATGCTATAATCATTCATAACTTATATTTTTGATAAACAATTATATATTCTACTCTCCTTAAAGAGAGAACAACAGACAGTTATCTACAACCCGATTACGTCTTTACAACAACAACAACAACAACAGCAAAAAAGAGAAAAAGTATAAAATGATACAGGTATAATCTTACATTCACCTTTCAATTTTCCAAAAAATAAAGAATTAGAATCAAAACAATTCACTTGTAAATACATAACCCTCATATACCTTCACAAGGAAAGAAAAAAATAATGACTCATACAAAAATCATCAAAAAACGGCAAAATAAAAATGCAAAGTGGCGTATTTTTCCAAATAGAAAATGGATTCCATATTGTCAGCATGTGTACATACATGCAACTATTTGTTCACATATTTCTCATTATTATATCAAAACACGGGGATGAATTAATCACATTTGTTTTTAATTATTCCAAAAATATATGAGTTTACAAAGTATGTACGCAATATAAGACTTAGTTCTGACACATTTGCTTTAGAAATGTTATCTACTTATCTTGTTTACTGTTAATTAGAAAGTTGTCATCAGAAATAATGTCTTAAAAATAGAAAGGTATTTATGCAATAATCCATAGGCTAACATTTTTGTTTAAACCTTACGTTTTCCGGTTTTCCGGTGTATCTTCATAACGCTACGTTTAAGCGAATATTTTTGCCCCCAACACGCTGACCAGGTGATACCTTTACCATATTCTGTGTTAGAACCGCCCAAATATAACCCATTTAAATTACAAGCATGACAGGCTCTGTACCACCAGGCTCCATTGTAATCAACGGCACAATTTCCACTACCTGTTTCGTCATTATCATTGTCGAATGTGGAAAATTTCCAGCCGTTATGATTGCTAAAGGAATCCGCACAGTTTCCATTATATCCCGATACTGACAACCTGTATTCGTCACTTTCGCCATTGACTTTAAAGGTGGAATATTCAGCAAAAGCTGATGCGGGTGAAACATTATCATGTTCAAACGTTTCCATTTCTATATAAAGTTCACAACTAATTGTTGTTAATATATTAATGTATTTAAGACCAAGCCAGAACTCGCCTGTTGTGATCCCAAATCCATCCACGTATTCATCCCAACCTCTATAGAAGTCCACAGATCCATCTTGGCGCCGCTGTATAACTGTCCATCCACCATTTGACATATCACACCACACGTCAATATTCACACCTTCAGACGGCTGAATAACATACACACCGTCTTCGGCATAGCCCATCTCATAAAGGGATAAACAGTCTAAAACGCTTGGTTGGCGATGTATTTTCTTGTACAATCCGTCGGTTGTCTACGAAAGAATAAAAATCACAAGATTATAATCAGAATTGTTTTGGAACCTTTTCACGTTCCTTAGAATTTATCAATACCTTTGTTCAATATTTCCTTTTATAATTTGATATGGACTGTTCTTTTAAGACTTTAAAGAAAAATAAAGGCATTGGTAAACTTTCAAGCCTTATATTAAAGATGAAACCTTAAGATATTAATGTAATGTTTCAAGGGAAAATTTTAATACGAACCTGTAAATATGACGTCAAAACTCTGGTTTTCTTAAGTCCATATACTATGCCTGTGTTTTGATCAGAGTTTGCAATATCTTCCGTACTTGCAGATTCTTCTTCGCCACAAAGGCACGTTTCATTGTGTTTAATATAGAAAAAAGCAACGCATTTCTGTTCTTTACAATGAAATTTACAAGTTGAAAAGGATACCTTTTGAGGTATAGTGACAAGTTTATTCCTTTGTGGTATTTCCGTTACATATGACAAATTATACATAACAGTTTCACCATATTTTGTCCAGTCTTTACTAAAACTGAGTCCAATCAGAGTATTAAGAACGATGTTACTCACAATCCAAAATGCCATTATGAAATTTCTTCCTGTGTCAGAACCAATTTAGTATTGATTTTAAAAGTTTTGAATTTTAGTATGCTTAAAGAACAACTTGTCTTAAAACATAGAGATGTCTGTAGTATTATAAGCCAAACTGATCATTAGAATTCAGATCAGTTTATTTAATAAAAAAAATGCGTGAGCGTAAACAATGACGTAACACTGTTCCAGTTGCGTTACATTAGCACCATGTGTAGGAGTTCGCCCGATTTTTGTATTTAACATAAATGAAACTAATTTGTTACTTCATTATTTTTTCATTGTCTATTGACTTGGAGTATTTGAATGATACTGTGATTAATTGATTGTTTATCTTTCTTGCTAACAATCAGGCATTCCGTACGCCATGAATATAAATGCACTCATAAATAATATCGTCGGAAATTTTATATTATTGTGATTTATGCAATCAATCAATTTGACAGCAATATCATTTTAGTCCGTTAAAAAGCCAGTAGCAATTATATAAACTTAAAATATTTATTCTTGACAAGACTTGAACATTATCATCACAGATAAAGTATAAATACAGACTGAGCACTATTCATTATAACGTATTTTCTGAACAATTATTGTATGTTGAATCTTAAATGTTGAATGTTAAATAATATTATTTTTTTCTTTTTTTAAAAAATATTTTATTTCATAACGTGCAATAATCAAAAAGAGACATTTAAGGTATTCAAGTATGAATGATCAGTTGCCCATGGATGAATCCGCCCTATGATCATTCATAGGACAGATAATTTTTATGATCATTCATGAAATAAAGCTGCCATGTGATCATCCACAGGGAAAATCCTCCTAATGATCACTCATAGGATAAATTCCTATGGATGATAATTCATAGAATAAACTCCTTATGGTTATCCGTAGAAAGAACCCTCTTAATCTATATCCATGGTATAAACCCTCTTTAAGGTTATTCATAGGATAAAGATTTATCTTTCTTATGATCATCAAAAGGATAAACTCTCATTATCCATAGGATGAATCCCCCTTGTGCTCATCTATATACGTAATCCTCATTATAATCAAACGTAGGGTAAGTCCTTATAATGATCATATGATCTTTCATCGTATACACCCTTTTATGTTCATTCATGCTCCTGTCCGAACCTAAACTGTTACAAAGTCAAAAATCATCAAATTTATTTTGGAGTAATCACAATTTAATTGGAATAAATAGAGATCTAGGTGTATAATACACTATGTAAATGCTGTTTGAAACAATTAAATAAAGGGACTTTTCTGTCGTAATACAGGTTAAACATTATAAATAGTAACATGTACCGCTGTATGCTGTTATTTCTATTGTGTGAAAAAAATTATTATTTTCCTTCAAAAGTGTATTGTATTTAAAATAAATTATAATGATTGATCTCCAAAAAGAAAAGAAAAAGAACGCCAAAAACGACAATATTGAAAATGTTGTGTAAGGATCTGACCATCTAGTTCTGAAATGTATTTCCAACAGACTTTATACTCGTAATGAAATCCAAGTAACATTGTGAAATCCTATAGCTTCATATATTGTTGATTTCAGCAAGAAAAAGATTCACTTACCTGACTGGCCAAGGAAGAATGTAAAGACATGAGGCAATTTAAGCTGGTAGAAATGTTAAACTTACGTTTAGGTTTGGCAAAAACTGACTTACTCTTTATATTTCCAGTGTAGCAGACGTGACGTCAATGACAGACATCTTTGAAATCTGTCACTTCATATTTTATATTGAAGATTTCTTATTGTAAATATCAATTTAAGACAAATTCACTTCAAGAACGTTATTTATGTAATAATGTAATTGAATGATTAAGGCCACACAACTTTAAGTATTCACTTTTTAACGACTTTCGTATGCAGATTAAATATCAGATTTCAATATGACCTGCATTGAAATCCTAGGAAATCATATTCTGAAGTTCGGCCGTCCGTCCATTGAAGGATTTCAGGATTTCCGGACTTTAACTGGTGGATTTCAAACATCAAACCTTATAAAAGTCTGAATCAAAGTTGTCACTTCGGTCTTGACTTCAAGTAGTGTAAAAAAGTTTTAAAACCGTCCAAGTTCAAATTCAATAAATATCTTAAAATATCGTCATCGGTATCCAATCTTAGTATGTATTTAAATCCAATATCATTAACTTACACTAGACACTGTCGTTGCCGAAAATCTTGTTATAAATTTCCAAACTGTATAAGAATTGTATAATGTGCCGTCAGAACAATGTTCCATCAGAATAAAAGTTTAAAAACATAGCTTTTTCTCTAATTACAAATATTATATCGTAATATGCAATTTAAGATATGCATTGGAAATATGTAATGCTGATACTGTTAGGTAAGGACGGGATGTAGTAGACGTAAGTACTTTTGCTTTTTTCGAATACAATGTTTGCCTCACTTCCCTACTCTGTGTTGTATGTGTTGGCTCAATTTAAACATATTTGATTCCGAATGTGGGTATCAAAGAGCTGACACAGCATAGATCTATGTTCCTTTAAAATACATATCGGAGTACAAATCAGTAAAACATATTTTGCCAAGCGAATAATGAGCAAGAAACAAAGAATCTGGATATCTTAGCAAAATTATAGATCAGAGGGCCATGATGGCCATGAGTCGCTCATCAGGAACAATCGCTTTTCAGTGTTGGAATGTCAATATATTCTAATATTAAATTTGAGCATAGAATATGTTTAAACAATAATTTGAGAAAAAAAATGCCATGACCTGGGGGCATTAAAGCATTAGCTTAAATGGGGCTAACTAACTTAATATGAGCAACCTTGATAAAAGACTATCCAAGGAATGCTACATAGTTTGCTGATCATCTATCAATTATTTCATTAGGAAATGATGTTCGAAAGTGTTTTTGTTCTATTTTGTGCTTTAATGACCCCTTAAAAGAGGCTAATCAAATTTTGGTTTCCATAAGAAGCAAAAAAATATTTACATTGTTACATTACACAAGTTCTATGGCAAATGCTTTGAACTAAGACATACCAAGTCCAAATATGTATAACTAGGGATATTTGGGTCATTTGCCACTGATTTGCAATAGAAAATTGCTTCTTAAATGTATCAAGTACCGGCACAGGATTCAAGAAAACGTGATTTACCAAAAACAAAACAAAAAGAAAAACACAAAAAACCAACAACAACATCGTTGAATGGTGTAAAGGTATACAATTAGAATGTGCCCTCAGTTATTGATAATACGCTATAATTCTATAACTGTCTTTTAAAACTCATACGTTTCTACGTATTTTCATGACAACTTCTTTTAACGAATATCGTTGTCCCCAACATCTGTACCAAGTGTTACCTTTCCCAAACTCTGAGCCAGCACCTCCCAAGTACAAACAATTTTAATGGGATTCATGACAGTTTGTATACCACCGACCTCCATGGAACATAACGGCACAATTATCACCACTTCTCAAGTCATTATCATTATTGAATGTAGTGAATCTCACACCGTTAAGAGCATTTAATCAATCGAAACAGTTTCCGTAAAATCCTTCAACTGTCAACCTATATTGATCAGTTTCGTCATAACCTCAAATGTGGAATATTCGGCAAAAGCTGATGCGGGTGATACATTATCATGTGCAAACGTTTCCATATCTATATAAAGTGCATTCCAAATTGCAGTTTACATGTTTATGTACTTATAACCAAGCCAGCACACGCCGGTTATGTTCCCGAAACCATTTCAATATTCATTCCAATTTCTATAAAAGTTTTCAGATCCATCCTGACGGCGTTGAATTACAGTCCATCCACCATTTGACATGTCACACCACACCTCAATATCAACACCTTCCTACGGTTGAATAACATACACACCGTCTTCAGCATAGCCAAGGTCATAAAGGGATAAACAGTCACAAACGCCTGGTAGACGATGTATTTTCTTGTTTAACTTCTCGGATGTCTGCAAAGGTAAATTATGGTACGAATATTTATCGTCAGTCATTTTAATTAAGAAAATATATAAACGACGATGGGTCAATATGTAGTGCAATATGGTACAAAAACAATTAACAAACGAGCAGATAGTTTACAATTGTCTATTTCAACACTTCAAAAATCCCCTATTCCAGAAATTCAAAGTTTATCCATTTAATCCAATTTTAAATGCGTCAACAAAGTCCACCTCAAGTATACTTTTAAATAATTGAAAGGTTGCCACTTTAAGTCCATTTTAACTCTTGAAGTGATGACCTGCAAAATGCATTTTCAGTCTATGAAAGAGGAAAACATCACAGAGTGACAGGTTTGGAGAATACGAAGGACAGTCACGGAAAAGGAAAATAATTAAGTACAAGAGCGTTGTAATTGCAGGAAGTACATACGTTTCCTAGCAGTCAAAGTATGCAATTTATTTAAACATTTTTACATTTCTGTTTAAACGACATCTCTTGACAGATCAACCTCTAAAACAGGACTTTAAACACAATTTCACGGATATTGTACATAACTTTCAAGATACTTGTCAATCGCTTTTCAATGCATGATCAACGAATTGGCCACGCTATAGATTGTACGTATATGTAAGTATATTACGAGAGTGTGCTCGTAAAACATATCGCGTGTCCACGTTATGGCTTTAGATGCACATGCAATAATTTTCGATTGACCACATGCTACATATTGTGTGCTCAGATGGTAAATAAAAGATTTCCTATTTGTCCACTTTTACTTACTCTTGAAAATCAAGCGTTTTTACTTTTTTAAATGTAATTTAAATAAAACATAAATTTGATTATTTACCACAGTTGTTTTTATTTTATTATCATCGCCATTGATCGTTTTCAAAATGGTATTTAAGAAATTGATCTGGTATTTAAAAGTTATCATTATATCAAATGTGGTAATTTAAAATGCGTTTTTGTAACATAATATTGATTGATGTTTTACTTATTGTTTTGAATTTCCATGGCATGAAAAATCAATAACATTGCTG